ATGGGGACAGCAGCCACGAAATTAAAAGATACCTGCTTCTTGGGAGGAAGGCGATGACAAACTTCAAAAGCATCTTAAAAAGCAGAGACATCACCTTGTCAACAAAGGTCCACATACACAAAGGTAGCGATGTATGGAAATGAAAGCTGGGTCATAAAGAAGGCTGTCTGCTGAAGAATTGATATTTTTGAATTGTGGTCCCCTTGACTGCAAGGAGATCAGTTCAACCCATTTTGAATGAAATCAACCCTGAGTGCTCACTGGAAGGACAGATCCTGAAGCTGAGGCTCCAATACTTTGGCCATCTCATGAGAAGCGAAGACTCCCTATAAAAGACCCTGATGTTGAGAAAGTGTGAAGGCAAGAGGAGAAGGGGACGACAGAGGAGGAGATGTTTGAACAGTGTCATCGAAGCTACCAACATGAATCTGACCAAACTCCAGGAAGCAGTGGAAGACAGGAGGGACTGGTGTGCTCTGGTCCATTGGGTCACGAAGAGTCGGACATGGCTTAACAACTAAACAACAACAACAAAAAGGATATCAATAAGGAGGCCACTCTAGTATTATATGGATGAGAGTTCCATAGCATTGGAGCAGCCTTTGAATAGGGCCTCTGTTGAGTCCTCACCCAGACAGTGATGAGTTGGTTGGATTGAGAAAAGAACATGCCCTGAAGATCTTGAAACTTGTTGATCCTCATATGGAGAAATGTGGTCCTTCAGATATCCTGGACCCAAACTGTGTAATGTTTAACACAGGGTGGAAAAAAGTAGCGTTTTTTTTTTAATTAATAAAATTGGGTCTTTTAAGTTGTAAATTGGATTTTATTTCATAAAATGCTTTTTGAGAAAAATCTGTCAAAAGATAAATTTCTATTTAAAATACATTATAGCCCATTTAATTGAAAATCATACTTTGTTTTCTAATTCTTAGCTACCATTAATTCATAGCATTAATTGAATGGTATAAAGGGGTTTGGGTTATAGCTATTAATGATAAGTATATGTGTAACATAAAAGCAAAGAAGGGGTTGATAAGTCAGAATATTTTATAGATACTTTCGGATAATTTATTGATTTTGTATTAATAAAGGGAAAGGAATGTTGCAAGAGTCTATGTAATTTTGGAACGGGAAGGGGACTCCATAAAAGAAGGAAAAATTTGTTATACTGTAATTCTAAATGGTCCCAGTGGAGGGAGCATGATTTGTATAATTGTTTTTGTTGTATTGTGTTATTAGATTGTTTCTTAGGTTTGTATGTTTTTGTTTGTGTTTTTTTAAATAAAAATTTACATTATTACCCAAATATTTTTCATAAAGAAATAAAGATTAATTTTTAATTACTGTATTTGCCGGCATATAAGATGACTTTTTTGCCCTGAAAAACATGCCTCCAAGTGGAGGGGTCATCTTATACACCGGGTATCCACGGGCTTCCCCCACCCAAACTGACGAAAATCCCAACAACCCAGAGTGGGTATATCCGTGCCCCCCGACAGGCAGCCCGCATAGGCATGGAACTTCCCCCCGCTCTCGGCCAGGGACTCCCCAGTGCGGATAGGAAAGGCAAGGCTGCCAGGGCCTACGGCTACCGTCTTTGAGAATCCCCCCTACACCCGCCAGGAGAAGACAGCTGGAAGTGGGTAGGCCGGCCTCGAATGCAGGCCACGTCATCCGGGAAGGGTGTCCCTGATGCTCCTCCCTACCCCTGGGGCTGCCGCTGAAACCAGCGTAAGCCTCCTGGGGTTGCTCAGGCGCGGCCGCCCTGGCCGGCCTGCCTCGCCGCGGCGGTGTCCACCCCTCCCAGCTTCCAAGCCCTCGTCAGGTGAATCTCCGGCTGCTGTGACTGAGGGTGGAGGATCTTATGAAAAGCAGGCTCACCCTGTCAGTCCGCCCCACCGCCACCTATCCGTGTCCTTTAAGACCTTCCCCCCACCTCAGGTAAGCCCTACCGTCGCTTGGGCCCCAATCCACAGCACACCTCGCTATGGGGGGAGGGGGTAGTCTTATACGGCGAGTATATAACAAACACTATATTTTGAGTAGAAATGTTGGGGTCATTTTATACGCCCAGTTGTCTTATACACCGGCAAATACGGTATATAGCATGAGACTACATTGCTGCAGTGTTTAAATATTTTTTGTAAATTAAGTCCATCAATTATATTAGTGCCCAGTGTCATGCTCTCCCAGAGGTTTCTGTAGATTATTTTGTATATTTATTTATTTTTTTCGATCTAGATGATACTATCACAGATGCACTTCTCAAAACTATGAATTTGGGTCAGCATAGATTTTAACAGAAAAAATATTTTTAATAAACATATAGGTTAAAAGCCTGTTATTTAGTTTAATCAGTTTAGCATTGGTCGTCACAGAGTAGGCCATTTGAAATCTCCAATGATTCGGTGAGCTTACTTTATTGCATTTAGCAACGGGACATAGAGTTGAAAAAGAGGCCTCAGTAGTATTGTTGCTCTGCAAATCTATATACACAGAATCAACTGCTTACTTCTTAAGTGTTATGTTTCAAGAGGTTCAATGGATAGAAGATTGTTTGATGTAGAATAGACCTGGATAAAGCAGAGATGTTAAGAGCTGAGTAAAAGGAGGGAGGGGTAAGCAGTACAAATCAACGTGAAACTTCTTGAGCAGTATACTCCAGAAATATTGAGATCTTTGTGAGTGTAGCCTGAGATTCATCATATTATTCTCTCCCTTGAAGGAAAAAAACATAATGGCAGCAGCCAATAAAAGTGGCCTAGTTTGTGTATATTTTAATGAAGTTCCTCTACTTATGGGTAAAGCAGACACGCATGCAAAATGCAAACAATGCAAACCAAACAAACATTAGTTTTTAAATATGCCTAAAACTAGAGATGCAAAAGTTTCAAACATTTCAATTTTTTCTGGAGAAAAAGTTTTTTTTTCTGGGGAACAATGATTTTTTTTCAAAATTTTACATCTCTATATAAAACTAACCAGGAAAGTTGATTATACTAATAATGAAACCTTCATATGATTTGTAAATGTTAAGGTTGTAACAGCCAGCAAGAATGAACCTTCATGTAGAAACCCATGATTTGAATCAAGTCTTTCTTTCTTGTGATTTAAATCAATTTGTTGTAAAACAAATCCACCCTAGCGTATTAGCAGATTTCCTAACCTCTAGTGTTCCTGTCTTATCTAGAGCAAGCTTCACCTTTCTAATCCAGTACTGGAAATCCTGACACCTCCTGAGGGTTCCATATGTCTTCCTGATATTATGTGTTGAAAAAGAACAGCACATCATCCACATATTGATAGTACCTTAGTAGTAGACATGGGCACTTCATATTCGTATCCTGGGGATATGAATATGAAAGCCACAGTGGCCCAATTCTGTTCCTCAGAAACAGCCAGGTCCACTCATCCAGCTCTGCACAGCACGGCGTCCCTCCATTGTCATTATCATGTCAGCCATGACAGGAGCCCAGATGGCACTTCCCCATCTTCCTGTGCAGCTGACCACTGATCAGTTGCATGGGGAAACTTCCCGATCTGCCTCCACACCATAATGGTTGGCTGCATGGGGAGGCAGGGAGACACCAGCTAGGTTCCTGCCAGAATTGCCACAATGACAACAATGGAAGAGCACTGTGCTGTGTGGAGCCCGGTGATTGGACCTAGCTGGGTCTGGGGGAGGAAACTGGGCTGCTTCAGCTTCTGTAGTGCTGCAGTTCATCGCTGCAGTTCATATTCGTATCCCCAGACACAGGATACAAATATTTGTAACCCCCCTCCCCCGGATATGAATATGAAGTGCCAATGTCTTCTTAGTACCTGTTAATACCTGAATGATTTTTGCCAGCAGTTTCAGGAAGAAGTTGAAATGAATGAAGGACAAGACAGAACCTTGAGACTCTCTTAATTGCCCGTAGTTGACAGGATCATAGTTTCCAACTATGGAAACTGTTGTGGATGTTCCAGTTTTTGGACCCATGCCTCCAGAAAAGACTGCAGCCACCTCAACACAGTGCCCCCAAGTCCCATTCTCAAGAGCTGGTCCTGAAGCATATTACGATCTGTGATATTATAAGCCCCTAAGTAGTCCAGGAAAATTTGTAGGATCACACAAACCTCTTCTTTGCCTACAATAAATTATTCATCAGAATAACGAAGCCAATGTCTGTCCCAAACTCAAGCTGAAATTCATTCAGATAATCAGGGTCATCAAAATTGCTTGGACCAGATGTAGTATCACCTGCTTTGAAATTGTAGATTTGAATCTAAGCTAAGAGAGCTAGGCCTGGTATTTTCTGTGGTTGTTTCACTGTTGCCCCCTTTAAGACATAGGATTGCCCTATTCCTAATTTGAAGTCCATGTTTGGAGACTTAGCTGGTCAGGAAAGATCCAAATAGCAAATGATGCATTTCAGTCTTCTAAGCAGCTGATCAGCATCCTCGGGTTACTTAAGCTAAAAAAATCTGTAACAGCAAGGAAAGATATTCACCTAGGGCCCTATGATATGATAGGGAAGCATTTTTAAATAAGAATGGAGATAGATTTTGTTTTCAAGCCCTCTCTTGAACTGCTCATTAGTTAACCTAACTACACTGTTAAATGTTAGTTAATGAATGGGTAACTACTACTAGAGCTAGATTAGGGACAGTATACTTAATGTAATTAAAATGGGTTGCTAATCACATTGTGATATTTTAAATTTATGAACAGATGCACTTGTGATGACTGCAGTCTTTCTCATATTCTGATGTGTGGAATCATGGATACACCAGTCACAGATGATGTCCATAATAATCATCTTCCACCGCAAACGGATTCTGCCTCAGATTGTCAGTCTGACATCTATCTACCTAATATGTCGTCAGGAAGTTCAGAATCCAGATCCAGTTCTCCTTTCACTGTTCTGCAGATAGATGGACCAAGAGTTCTGCCAGATAACGTATCTGGACTAACTTTGTAAGTGTCATTCTTTTGACTGTAGGGAAATGTGAAACGCTGGGACTACTAGCTAGAAGGTAATGTTAGGTGTTATATATGCCCTGTGGAATTGTTGGGCCTCTGCACTTTTTCAGAGGCACTTTCGTGTACCATCTGACAAATTACTTTTGAAGCAAAAGAGAGACATCTGGGAGCAGTTCCTACCTAGCATAATTCTCAGAACTGTATGTCACAAGATAAAGATGAAACCAGGGTGAGGTGGGGAGTAGAAGCACTTGTATATACATAAGGCTCATTAGCCCACTGGACATTGTGAAGTTAATGGTGACTCAAAAGTTATTGCAGCAAAATCAATAAAGATTCCTATAGTACTAAAGACTTACAATTTCTATTTAGGATATGTTTTCATGGAGTGTAACCATTTTGCATCAAAAGAAGAAGCTTCAATCCATAAAAGGTTACATCAAATAAAATACGTTAGTTTTTTTTTTCAGGTGCCAAATGACTGATAGTTTTGCTACAGCAAACTGTGGAATAACACAGCTACCCTTCTGGAAGTTAAAGATTATTGTTTGAAGTATAATTGTATCAATTCACCAGTTATAAATGATGCCAGTAATAATAATCACTCAGTGCCAACTCACAATCCTTATCTCAAATCCTTTGGATATGTAGAACAAGTAAAAAAGTATGTGAGCTCCTTGTTTTACTAAAACTGAATTTTCTAACGTGCTTATATCTGATATTTCTGTATTGGCTCTCAAAAGCACCAAAATAAGTTCAGAATAGCAGTTAGAATTAGCATTTTGACAATTAATGATACATTTCCCCATTACCTTACCTTTACCTTACATGTGCAACAAAAACCTTGAACAAACCCACAGCTATGTGGTTCTTACACACTTGAAAGGCAAGGGCAGGGGGTATCTTCATTAGACAACTAGAAAATAAAAAGCTAGCTTTCAACTCAGACAAGTACTACTGTGTTGTGGATGTTGCAGAAAAACATAAAATTTCCAAAAGTCATGAGAGATGTCCATGCCAGGTCTTTTCCTTAAAAATGAGTTCCAAAATGCAGGCTGCAAAAAGAAGTCAGGAGTGTAGGTTTCAAATTCCATCCTTTTGTTTGGTGAGTTGGGAGAGATAATGCAACTAGTAGCCACCAGGGTTCGAACTTGAAATCTCCACTTGTGTTTGCAGCCTGCATTTAGAAACTCACTTTTAAGAAACGGACCCAGCATAGACATTTGCCATGTGTGAAGGAGGAGTGTGTATAAGTAAGCCGTCCGTAATAATCAAAGCCATAGAAGATGATAGAGTGAGAAAAGCGAAGGGAAACAAGAGGGAGAAGGTTTGACAGTTACTGAAGAGGCGCGAGAAGTTGAATCTAAAGAAAAGGCGGGAAAGATAGAGATTTGTTTGGTAGAAGAGGGTAAAGGGGGAGATGGGGTGGAGCAAGAACTGACAGTGTGGGAAGAGGATATAAATGAGGAGAGTGTGCGTTGGTTCAGTTCAGTCGTAGCAGATTATGAGAGAAAGAGGATAGAAGCACGGAGAAGGGAAATTGAGAATATAAGAACCCAGGGACTTCTAAAAGATTTCCCAAACCTAAAGGTAGGGGGGCTGCTGCCGGAGCCTAAGCCGGAGGAGATGAAACCGACACAGTTCGTGACTAAAGAATGGACTATGATTGTGGTGCCACGCGAGCTTGAATTGCAAAGGAAAGCTGAGATTGTTCATAACCAGTTCTATGACCATCCTGACAAGAGGCTGGATTTGTCACGCATGCTGTGGGACGATCTGTGCCCTGAGAAGTACTCCTCCCCGGAGGCCAGATTACAGGGAATGGCGTGGGAGAATTCACTACTGAGTCCATGGGATTATGGGAAAAGTTTTGGTTCTGTTAGTTGTGGCTTGTTGCCCGAGTTGAAACTCTTTGATCCCATAAGTAACGCACTGGAGGAAGTAAGTGATAATAAAAATGACAGTTTAAAAGTTATCAAGACGTCTCTTTTCTTATTTCCTGTGGAAACAGAGGAGTCACCCAGGGAGAGTAAAGAACCCAATCACAGTGGCGCCCAACGTGGGGTGACTCTGTTGGTGGGAAATGAAGATATTTTGAAATTACAACAAATGATAGGGCGTCAAGGGAAGATAATTGAGAATCTGGCGGAACAACAGACGTTGATAGGGAGACAATTGTTGAAACAGGACAATGAAGGGGAAAAGGGAGACAAAATCACGAGTGGATGTCGGAATTCTTGAGTAGCAGGACCCACTCCAATTCGGATTCAAAAAATGAGCTCAACCAATGATCCGGAAGCCTATTTACATACCTTCAAACGAGTGGCTACCACAGCGGGTTGGCCCAAGGAACAATGGACTTTGATTTTGGTCCCGTGTCTAACCAGAGTGCTACAGGAAGTGATAGATACATTGTCTATTGTGGAAGCGGCACAGTACGAAACGGTAAAAAGAGTGATCTTACAAACGTCGAATTTAACAGAAGAAGCATATCGGAAAAGGTTCAGGGAGTTAAGGTTGAAACCAGGTGTACACCCACAGACATTAACCCAAAAGATAAAAGCCAACCTTGTATGCTGGTTGCAACCAGAAGAAAAGGCAAAAGAAGAATTGCTGGAAATGCTAGTCATGGAACAGTTAATTACTACGTTAGGAAACAACTTCTGTAATTGGGTACAAAGGAATCGACCTAAACGACTGGAAGACGCGGTACGCCTAGTGGAGGACTTTTGTATGGCAGAAGAAGAAGGAAGAGAGATCTCACCCCCCACCCCCGAAAGGTTCTGACCACGTGAAAAGATGGCGAGCGGCGGCAATGGCACACCTCCACGAGGAGCTTTCGGACCTTCCACTACGCCCAAGGAGAATAGCCAAAATTTCGAGCCCATGGGGAAGTAGGAAGAAAAAAAACAATCTAACATGAGATACTATTGGTTTGCAAGATCTGAGCAGTACTCTTCATGCTTTGAAGATCATTAAGTCATATAGTCACCACACATCAGTAGTGACTTGATGGCACATAAGATTTTTGGAGGTTTTTTCTTAAGTACGAAGCAAATGTATAGTGATGAGACAGGTGGGATGGTTGAGATTATGACGGGATATAAGTACTAAAGCTCTGCTACCATCAGATAAGACCATTTCCAGCCACAATGCAAAAAACAGTGATTTCATAGCTTAAATGTGTGTGCTTCTGAATATTTGTTATCTGTTCTTTTCTTGACATCTTTTAAAAATATTTTTACAACCAGACACAGAATATCTTTGCAAGCACAAATCCGTGTTTTGCCATGGAGGAATTAAAAATTCAAGTGGTTGACAGGGTCAGCAGTTCAGATTGTCCTAGATCTGGAGTTGATTTCGCTTTTGAAGACTTGTGTCTGGGGCCTGGTCTCAGAAATCCTGAGAGAACCTTTACTGAAAGCACTAAGGGCTGGGACAAACACAACTGATCTTTGCTTTTGTAATGCAGAAATACTTTAAATATGCCTTACAAAATGATATATTAATTCTTTGGACTTAAATGACAAAATGTCCCCCTTTCTGGAGAACTGTCTGTCTTTTACTTTCTCGAAAGCAAACCTGTTTTTTTTTTTTTTGCTGTGCTGTAACTCTCCCTTGCTCATAAAATAAATTGTATTGTCTTCCTGGCAAACCTGTACTACAGATGTTCAGTTTCTAATAAGGTCACTGTTTTTCTTATTTGAAATCCCTCTTTTGAGGATCAGTATTTCAGCCACTGCAGCCTAGATTATTTCTAAATAAAAAAAGCGGGTGTGGCCAACCATTCTCTTTCAAGATAAGCAAAATTGGTATTTTCAGTTTGTATGAGCTACTTTAAATCTATAGGGATGTGATGGCCCTGCAGGTTAAACCACAGAAGCCTCTGTGCTGCAAGGTCGGAAGACGAGCAATCGTAAGATCAAATCCATGCAATGGAGTGATCTCTTGTCGCTTGTCCCAGCTCCTGCCAACTTAGCAGTTCGAAAGCATGCAAATGCAAGTAGATAAATAGCTACCACCTCGGTGGGAAGGTAACAGCGTTCCGTGTCTAGTTGTGCTGGCCACGTGACCACGGAAACTGTCTACGGACAAATGCTGGCTCTACAGCTTGGAAACAGGGATGAGCACCAGCTTGTAGAGTCGACACGACTGGACAAATTGTCAAGGGAAACTTTACTACTTTAAATCTAGAGATGTTTAGGGTTGCCTATTTCTAAACAGGGAGAGGAATAGAACTTCAAAAAAAACCCTCAGAAACGCTTTGTGTTTTATCACTTGTAGCAAGCCTCCAGGCATTACCTCTAATTTATAATTGGACTGAGGGATGATGCTGATCTCATTAAGTTTAGGTATAGCATTTCCACTCACTAACATGCGAAGTACACTCAGCTGAGTCTTTTAAAAAGATAGATATTGGGGCAATATTGCATGCAATCCTTATCCCACAGCAAAGCTATCTCATTACATAGGTAATATGGCTCTTTGAGTCATTACTAAAAGGTAGCAAGGCATCCTTTTTGAACTGAAAATCTCTAGATGTACTGCCTTTCAATAGAAACTTGCAACTAGACATTTGTCTTTTAGCCTTTGTAGAGATCTCTGGACCAAATTCCACTGGAGTGCTATCTAAAACAAACAAAAACAAACCACTTAGTTCAGAAGAAGATTCTCAACACTCTGTGGGAAATAGGCGTTTTAATTTCATTTCAGATTTTATCGCATAGCTTACTGTATGTGATAAAGAAACAAGCCTTTTTCTTCACAGCAGCACTGAAAATGAAGATGTTGCAGTGATATCGGAGAAACTTGGTGATCTGTACTCCATTAATCACTATGATAGTGCTAACATAGAAGATATGAATGGTATCCACAGAGAGCTAAATGGTGGAGTCGACAATGCAGCATTAAGATATGAGGTACCGTTATTTTCAAATAAGTTTTATTCATTTGACAATAAGGATTCCAGTGGAACTGTGTTTATATTGCCTTTAAATGATTTATCTGTCTTCCCAGGGCAGCAGCAGCAGTAGCAGTTCATCGGAAGTAGATGCTGAGGAGCCCATTGAAGAGAATGGTAGCAATCTGGCCAGAATTCAAGAAGATAATTTAGTACTTGGAAGAAATGTGATAAGGAATGAAGAAACCAAAAGAGATAATCTTGTGGCATCATACCCTACTCAGGAGGTACAGATTACTTATGACTATAGGACAACTGTAAATGAATTCTGAAGCAATGCTTTTTCCATTTTTATTGTAGCATTTTCTGTAGAATAAATGGGCTTTTTTTCAGGCTTTGATCTCATCAGAATTCCGATACCTGTTGAATTTGGCGTTTTATTCCTTTTCTCCGTTTTTGGAGTATTTATGTGAGCATTGTCTATGTTTTCGCAAAGGCTTTCATGGCCGGGATCTAATGGTTGTTGTGGGTTTTTCGAGCACTTTGGCCGTGTTTTGAAGGTTGTTCTTCCTTTGCAGGCTGTATTTTTCAGAACTGTGAGCCAGGCCATGTTTAGTTTTAGGCCTTCTTCCTTTCTGTTGAAGTTCTGTTTATGTTTATGGATTTCAATGGCTTCCCTGTGCAATCTAAGATACAGATTGCTGGTGTTGTCCAGTATTTCAGTGTTTTGAAATAGAATTTCATGTCCAACTTGTTTTTTAGGGCATGTTCAGCTACTGCTGATTTTTCCAGTTGTTTTAGTCTGTAGTGTCTTTCATGTTCTTTGATTCTGGTGTGAATGCTGCATTTTGTGGTTCCAATGTATAAAACTGCACAGGGAAGCTATTGAAATCCATAAACATAAACAGACTTCAACAGAAAGGAAGAAGGCCTAAAACTGAACACGGACTGGCTCCCAGTTTTGAAAAATACAGCTTGCAAAAGGTCAACGAACTCTACCCAACCACAAGGACCAGGAGGCCAGGGATCATTGCACAAAAAAGACCAGCTAACAACACCCATCAATCACAGTGACAGATAATCTCTTTTTCCCCTTTATCACAACAAAAACATGCTGATCACCCTTTCTCATGAAAAAAGACAAAAGTGGTTCCCACAGCTATAAATACTCAACTATCCAACCAACAGCAACAGAGCATGGACAGAGTTCCTACCCCAGTCCTCTGAAGATGCCGGCCACAGAGACTGGCGAAACATCAGGAAGAACAACCTTCAGAACACGGCCAAAGAGCTCAAAAATCTACAACAATCATTGTCTATGTTGTCTCAGTTACAGATGGTTTTGGCATGACTATACAGATCACTCTGTCTAATAATATCAAATATGTACAGTGAACCCTGGCACCCATATAATAGATACTGTTCCACATATCTGGGAGAGCCAATTGTTCTCTAGATGCAGTGTGCCACATCAGTCCCTTGGCATAAAATCTTCTATAACATAAACCTATAAAAAGCTAGTTTTACCACTGAAGTGATGCAGTATTTTCCTGTGGGCTTCTGCTTAGGAAGAAGACTGTATACACATTACTGTGAGTTCTGCCTGGGTTTCAAAACCCTCTTGATTTACACTGGGGTTCCACTGATACGGTGGAGCCGATCATTTTTGTAATGTGTTCTACTAGCATTGCTATTCAAACCTCATCCTTTGAGCACAATCCACATTTTCAGGGTTATACAGTGGTGCCTTGACTTACGAACTTAATCCGTATTGAAATTGTGTTCTTAAGTCAGAACGTTCTTAAGTCAAAGCAGCATTTCCCACAGGAATGCATTGAAACCCGATTAATCCATTCTGGCTCTTTTTTGTTCTTACGTCAAGGTACGGTTTGTAAGTCAAAGCATTTGTTCCCATAGGAACTAATGCAAAACCGGTTAATCTGTCCTCTACCACTAGGGGGAGAATTTTTTTGAACCTAAGATGACTTAGGTTAAAAAAAACCTAAGATGACTTAGGTTAAAAAAAAGAGCAGGAAAGGAGGGAGACAGAGAGAGAGAGAGAAGACAACGAGGGAGGGAGAGAATTTGGAGTCTAAAACACATGCTAAACCAACACATTTTAAACTCACACATTTTACACCAACACATTTTAAACCAAGCCAGCACAGACCCTTGCAAAAACTTTTCTGATTTGCAAGGGAAGCATGCAGGAACCATTGCAAAAGCACAGAACACAAACAGAGCTGGTTAGAAATGCAAAGAGAACAAAGCAAAAAAGCAAGGGAAGCATGCAGGAACCATTGCAAAAACAAAAGGAGCAGATTAGAAATGCAAAGAGAGCAAAGCAAAAAGCATGCAAGACACAACAAAAATTGGAGAACCCCCCCCAAGACCCCATTGGAAATGGGGGGGGGACCAAAAAACAAACAAACGAATTCCCCAAGACCCATCGGAAATGGGAAAAAACACTCCAAAAAGGAACCAACCCCCCATCGGAAATGGGGGGGGGACAAAAAACAAACACACACCCCAAAACCGATCACAGCACGGAAACATAACCCCCAAGCTGAAAATCACGCTGCAAAAATATCCAGAAAGGTTTTTAAAAAAGTATAAAGCAGCACCTTACCTTGGCAGGCAGCCTCCTCGGATTGCACACTCTGCCCGGGTGAAAGAGCTACAAAGAAGCAGCCACGTCGCCACCTACAGTTAGCTATTTGAATTTCCCTCCCTTTTCCCCAGCCTTTTTTCTGTTCGTAAGTCAAAGCTCCATTCGCAAGTCAAAGCAAGATTTTCTGAAGAGAGCTGAGCTCAAATCAAAATGTTCATAGGTCAGTGCACCACTGTAATTCTTATACCTTCTTATACTTTTTTCATGTAAAATATCAAACTTTGACAGTTGGACAAATGTAATAAATCAGAAGCAATTAAAATGGCTTTGACATTGTTTTATAGCATTCTCCATTGGACAATCTCTGTCATTTTAAATAAGCAAAACTTTAAATTGCTTTTGAATAAATATTTTCCTTCTAAAGGTAAACAGAATGTTTCTTCATGTGTGTTGTCTAATTAAAGTTGCAGTCTCTCTTTTCATTTTGGCAGGCTGATCAAGTACCAGCTTGTTGTGAATGCCATATCTGTAAACAGGAAACCCAAGGCACCTCCCCTTCAGACACAGAAGTGAGATGTCTTCCTGCTGGGCATCAGTTTAAAATCCCAGAAAAGCATGCACATTCTGGCCTTCATCTTTATCCTCACATCCATGGAAAAATACCACTTCATACTATTCCTCACTTACCTCCTACACTAATTCATCCCTCCTTCTATACAGCTTCTCCTTTTACACAGAATAAGGTAAGCCTTTCAAAGCAGTTGTCTTCAGGCTTCTAGAAAGTGTTCTGCAAAACTGTATTTGTTTGTTTGTTTGATAATTTAAAATATATTTAACTTGACTTTCTCCTTTAAAAAGGACCCAAGGCAGCTTAGATCATTAAAAACACAATATTAAAAGCTAAGAACTGTAAAATATTCTAATATTTTAAAAGAATTAAATAAACATTATATTTAAAATGTCAGGAAAAAGCATTTCTAAAACAGATTTAAAAGCAACAAAAATACAGACTATCCCGTTTAAAAACCTCTGAGATAGCTGGTCACTTAGGAAAAGTCTGCCTGCTTGTGGAAGGACAGCAAAAATGGGGCCAGCCTGGCCTCCTGTGGGAGGGATTTCCAGAGTCTGGGAGCGGCCACAGAGAAGTCCCCCCCCCATTGTCCCCACCAAACACACCTGTGAGGGTAGTGAGGCCAAGAGGAGGGCCTCCTTTGTTGATCATGTCTCCCAGGCAGGCTCATAAAGGGAGATGTGGTCTTTCAAATAGCATGGGCCCAAGCCATTTAAGGCCTTATAAGTTAAAACCAGCACTTTGAATTGTGCCTGGAAATGGATCAGCAGCCATTGGAGCTGCTGTAATGGGGATTATGTAACCCCTGAAACCAGCGCCAGTTAACAATCTGGCTCAATTTAACTGTTTTATCTGTTAGAAATAACTGGTTAGTTCTTTGTGAATATTCACTGCAATTCTTCATATATTTTGCAAAATATATTTGTTAAACATTCTATAAAGTGCTAAAAAGCTAAGGAACTAGTCTGTACCAAGATTTTTATGTCATTCTAAACAGTATCTACAACTGGGCACTGCCTTTACTAAGACCAAATATGTACTATGTGCCTGTTCCCATCAGCTGGTTAAAAAAGTTTTGGGGAGAGGGAAGAATCATGGAAGTCCAAAAATTTGACTAGAAGTTTTGATCATGAGGAAGCAGTGAAAAATCAGTCCCAGGATTCAGAGTGCAGGCTTGATGAGTCACTACTTTAGATGTACAGGTGTCCAACCACTTATAAGCATTTCCTGTGATGGAGAGAAGATGTTATATTTCCATGTCTCAGCAGTTGAGGCAGGTATTGGGATATGTCTCTCGAAGTACATCCAAGAATCTAGTGCAGCATACAATGGAAGTAGTGGTCTTCCAACACTACCTTCGGCATCTGATCTGCCAGTTAGAAACAAAATTACTGGGCACCTCTAAGACATCCTTATTCCAGATTATTGAAACCCATAAACTTTACCATAAACCAATAAATCAAAGTGCTTGCGTTTTTTACAAGAGCAAAGGATGAGGGTATGTGTGCTTTGTCAAGAAAGGAAGGGAGAGAAGCAGAGATGCTGAGCATGGAATGGCTATCTGGGAGCTAATGTAGCAAAAGTAAGCGAGATATTTTGTCAGAGAGAACCCAATTAAAAAGCAGGAGTCTGATAAAAAAAAAAAAGCAGGCTTGGAAAATGGGAACCGAAGACAGAAGTAGCCAAGGAAGAATTGGGTTACAATTTAGCAGTTCGCAAAATGTTGTAAATTGGTATTAGAGAAGAATGTAGGAATAAAATAGATCTGTGACACCAAAAAAAGTAGAGGTTTACTAGGCCTACACATTTAGAGGCACCTAAGCTTTCCAAATCGTTTGAAACTGAAGGACAACATACTATCTTAGACCTATTAGAACTATTTAAAAAATGGAACTCATGCAGTCACCAAAAAGACTAATAAAAATTAATGTTGCTTATTAAAAATTAGTAAATTACAACATTTACCAAAAAATCCCAGTTGTACAAAATAACCCAAAACCACAACGCTTATGCAATCACACAATTACAAAATAAAACAAAACTATAAAATATAAAATTTTACAACAAAACACAAATAACACAAACCAGGAGTGCCTGGAAATCTAGTGCAGCATACAATGGAAGTAGTGATGATGTTAATTCGTTCCAGCGAAATCGCTGTAGAACGAAAACATCGTAAAGCAAAATTAAAAAGCCCATAGAAACGCAGTGAAACCCGATTAATGCGTTCCTATGGGCTTGAAACTCACCGTTCAGCGAAGATCCTCCATAGCGCGGCCATTTTCGTTGCCTGTGCAGTGAGGAATCCGTCCCAGAAAACAGCGGGCGGCCATTTTTTTTACCCAGCAGCCATTTTGAAACTGCCAATCAGCTGTAGGAAAATCGTCGTTTTGCGAAAATCGGTTCCCGAAGCAGGGAACCGATCATTGCAAAGTGAAACTCCCCCATAGGAAACATCGTTTTGCGATCGCTTTTGCGATCGGAAAAACTTCATCTTAATGCAATTTCATTGTAAAATGGAGCACTTGTCTTGCGAGGCACCACTGTATTATGATTTTAATTGTCAAACTAAACATTCACATATCTGTTTAAGTCCCTGCATTTTTCAGGGTTCTCTAAAGAAGGACATTCTGTCAGGTACATTTTTGGTGTTGTTACCATACTTTTAATCAGAATGCATTCTTGTTATAGGCACTGGTTCAGAATCAAACAGTTAATCAGCAAATACTCAGTACATCATTTCAAGACCATATCTATTCAAGTGGCTTAGGTAATACTACAGATTGGAAGAGCTCTAAATTTCTTAGCATTTGGGGATCAGAAGTCATGAATGAGAAGGACTGGAATGCCTCCAACATTTTACAAGACACACTCTCTGGTAAGTGCTTAATTCTACTTTATCATTTTGATTCTGCTTATTCTAGTAACATCCTTTTTTTTCTTGACTGGATTAAAATTTACTATATTTACTATTTACTATATTTATTCCCCTTAGTGTTATATTGTGGGAACCAAAATCAAATACAGTTGTGGCCTGTGATATTTATAGATATATTGATATTGGCAGGATTGTTTGTTTATATGAAAGGTAGACTTCATCTTTCATATAGAAGTTATGAGATAATGATTAGCTCTGTTCAATATGTCTGCCTTCTTTCCTTTCATTCCTTCCTTCTAGGATATGGTGATAGTGAATTATATTTAGCTTGTAAATAGAATAGATTCAATATATTCGCGAAGGCTTTCACGGCCGGGATCTAATGGTTGTTGTGGGTTTTTCAGGCTCTTTGGCTGTGTTCTGAAGGTTGTTCTTCCTAATGTTTCACCAGTCTCTGAAGATGCCAGCCACAGAGACTGGCGAAACGTTAGGAAGAACAACCTTCAGAACACGGCCAAAGAGCCCGAAAAACCCACAACAACCATCAGAATAGATTCAGTTTAAGTGAAAGAAAATACAAACTTCTTTATCGTGGCTTCTGTGAATGCACACAACAGGATTTTGACAGCGCCTGCGCTGGTCCTCTTGGAATCTTCTAGAGCTTTTATAGAAAAGTAACAAAGTTTTGCCCCTATCCACCTGCCTCAGCCTTCAGTTCCATTTTACCGCGCTTGGACTTGGAACCTCTCGGTCTTAGAGCACTTAAATTACATTTCTTGATGGATTTACGGACCTTTGACTCGGCTTTCTCAATCGGAAAATTCCATTCTCTGTTGCCCTTGACAATCGGACTACTTGATGATTCTCCGCTTTTCGATTTGGATTGGTTTTTCGGATCGTTTTTTCTTCCTGCCTTTTCTACAACTGACCGCTATACTGCCTATAGCCCTATGTTTCTTTGATTGGATGTTTCCTACTGTCACAACTCTTTAACCGTGAGTCTTGATACTACTTTATGTCCCGATCCAGTCCCTTTAGTAGATCCGTGGTGTGCTCCCAAAAATTACCATTCTCCGACGGTCACGACCACTGACTCTTCTGCCTAGGAGAATCCTACCAATTGCACTCTTGCAAACATTGCAAAAACTTCACGAAAGCCACCCTTAAGGCTCGTCAGCATCATTTAAAACTTTTCCTGTGGGATAAAACACTCTTGGCGTCAAGACCCTCCGAGATGGAAACCACCCTTACTCCATCGGATACCCCTCATTCAGAGGTCCGAATTGCTTCACCACCTCCAACATCGACATCAGGACTTGTCGACAAACCTGCAAAGAAATCCACATTGACCACAAAAAAAACTTACCTCAACATCAAAATCCACGTTGAGCACATCTTGATGGATCCTGCAAAACAGACAAAATAGTTGTCTAAAGATAAAAAGGACAAGTCGAAGGACCATAGAAAGCAACTACCCCCAATTTCAGCGTCACTGTCATCTCAGATTTTAGAGGACTCATCCTGGGATTGGGAGTCCCTTTCGGAAACTGCTGCTTCCCTTCCAACTCGGCAGTTACAGACTTCGCCGGCTGACCTCGAACCTATCGACTATTCTCCTACTCCAAGCCAGCTAATACATGCTGTCACTAGCCCGGCTACTGCCCCTCTAAGCCCTGTCTTTACTGGGCGGGTTTCACTTCATTGCCGCCTTCTTCCTCTTCGAGGGCACCTTCTCCACCTCGAAAGAAGGTTGCCAAGACTAAACACCTCTCGCTGGATCCGGTGTGAGGTGGTTGTTCTGCCTCGATCTTCTCGACATCGACACAAATCGAAATACGACAACCCAATTTATGTCGAGGTCAATCATAAAAGGTCCTGTTGTCAATGTGACGACTCCAACACCAATTTGTCGTTTAGTGAGGAAATCTTGAAAAGGCAAACTGTACAACCTCCCCCTCCATCTGAAGATCTCATTTTTGGGGACATTAATCAGGAAAGACCCCCCCCCACTAATTTTAGCATTAATTCCAGCTTTGATGGACCTTATCAAAGAATGCTGGAATCAACCGTCTACTTCTGCTCTTGTAGCTCGCAGAACAGAAAACTTGTATCATATCCACAGAGCTGATACTACTTTTCTGGTGAAACACCCGGTTCCAAATTCCTTAATTGTCAAATCAAGTTCATCAAGATCATCTGGAAAGTCACATCACCTCCACTAATAGAGAGGGCCGAAAACTGGACGTGCTGGGAAGGAAATATATTCCCTTACAACCTTTTTACTCCTTGTGGCGAATTACCAAACAGCTATGGGAGCTTACAGAATTTACAGAATTTCCTCCTCTAGGACAAGTCAAGCTTACATCCTTCGATCCTGTTCTAAAAGAAGAGATTCTCACCCTTCTACTAAAACAGGGATCAGGGAACTTTTTTACCTTTTACCCCCTCCCCAAAAAATTTATATACGCCAACATTACCCACTTGATTTGAAAGGAA